GCGACAAAAATTGATAACGTTAAATTAAAGCTATAGATTATGAATTGAAAATTTTTTAACCACATGGTCGGAAATGTAATAGTGTTTTCAATTATCAGGTGTGCAATGGCGTTAATGACTGCAAAGACAACGCGACTTCAGATGAAACTCATGATCGTTGCCCGAAGAACATAACTTGCCCGGCCAACCATCTGAAGTGCGAGAAGACTAACATATGTGTGGAACCATACTGGCTGTGCGATGGTGACAACGACTGTGGCGATAACAGTGACGAGGACCCTGTGCATTGTTCTCAGAGAACCTGCCCAACGAATAGCTTCCGGTGTCCCAACCACAGATGCATACCGGCCACGTGGTATTGTGACGGCGATGACGACTGCGGTGACGGGTCAGATGAACCACCAGAGTACTGCAAGTCGGAGGGCCGTACGTGTTTCGGCGATCTATTCACATGCGACAACGGTAATTGCATACCGAGGATTTACATCTGCGACGGCGATAACGATTGTTTGGACAATTCCGATGAGGATATAAGACACCAGTGCAGTGAGTATAACTAGTGTACATTTATAATATATACCAATAGGCCGTATTCAGGATGAAAGTGGACAGGTGGTTTTTGACCTGAATGACAAATATTTTTGTTTTTATTATTCTGATCCTTTCATAATTTCATTGATATATTTCCCACACTTATTATGATTTTTATATTTTGTAGTTTGTTACCATAACTGTTTATTAAATATACAAATACGTATAGTTAATCAATACCGTAACTTAAAATATTGTCTTGTATTGTCACATAGCATGTATTCGATTACATTAATAAACTAAGTGGTACTAAATTTGAATGTGATCTTACAGCCAGCATAAATTTTAAGACTATAATTATAGAGTAATATACTGATTCTGAAATACAATTTGGGAATACAATTTAAATATTGAAACCTTTTTTTTTGTTGCCCAAGTTTATTTTATTTTTTAGTTGTCCCTGATATTTCCGATGTATAGCTTTAATAAGCAATATTGACCAAGTTAGTAAGTTCCTCGACGAGTTAGACAGTCTCAACTAAATGATTCATACATGTGTCAAAATCATCGCAGATTTTTTTTACTAGTTTCGCGATCGGTATACCTGATGGAGGAATATTGGATTGATATTTTGTGGGGTTTTCCCATTATGAAACGTTGTATAAAAAAAGAACATTTGATTAACAATTTTTTTTTTAAAAGGGAGATTCTCTCACGATGAATAACAATTTTTCAATTATCATCAAGAGTCACCTAATTGAACGCCATGAAATTCGAAAATTTTTATAGATGACTCCTCCTAAATCCGTACCTATATAAAAATATCAAAAAGCTAAAAATTACTCCTTTTTCTTACTAAATAATGCTGTATTGTAGATAACCGTGGTTTTGGAAAAGTGTTATGAACCATTTTGTTTTGTTTTTCTGCAGACAACCGTAAATGCGATGAGTCAACCGAGTTCACGTGTCATGCGAACAAGGCGTGGAATAGGGCACAGTGCATACCGAAAAAATGGCTGTGCGATGGCGATCCTGACTGCGTAGATGGGGCGGACGAGAATGCTGCGGTGCTCAATTGCACGACGGTGGCTAACTGCAGTGCGGATCAGTTCACGTGCGGTAACGGGCGATGCATCAACCGTGGATGGGTGTGCGACCATGACAACGACTGCGGTGATGGCACGGACGAAGGCAAGGAGTGTCATTCGCAGTACAAGACGTGCTCACCCCGCGAATTCTCGTGCCAGAACTTCAAATGCATCCGGAACACGTATCGGTGTGACGGCGAAGATGATTGTGGAGACAATTCGGACGAGTTCGGATGCCCGGCAGGTGGCCGAAACGGAACGTCGTCAACGTGCGGTACTGACCAATTCCGGTGCACCAGCGGGCAGTGTATCAATGCTACGTTGGTATGCAACAAGGTATCAGACTGCGCGGATGACAGCGATGAGCCTGCTCACTGCAACGTGGACGAATGCGCCAAAGTCGAGCTCAACCAGTGCGCTCATCGGTGCATTGACACCCCTACCGGGTTCACGTGCGAGTGCAATGAGGGATACAAGTCAGTCTAATTGATCTTACTTTACTATTTTTTGTTTATATATATATATATACTAATAAACGATGGTTGTGTACTAGTAGTTGCCTATAATAATGATCCACCATTTTTTTGAGCACGTAGGTACTACTTGGTACCAATGTTTTTCAACGTATAAACGAATAGTAGTCCGTGTTTTTTTAAAATTAAAATTTCTTTACTGGGGATATAAAAACGGGTCGTGACCGTTACGTTCCGGCCAGGAAAACCAATATTTTCTGATTTATTATATGTTAAAATTATTGTTTCCCATTATTTTTTAAATGTTGTCTTTTTTGTTTACATTTGGATTATATTATTCTTAACTGTTGAATAATGACAAGGACTCCCGGGTTTGATGCCTAGCGGTTACAACCGCGAACCTCACGTTAGCGCTGTGCGATAGTCAAGAGCCGAGGAGGTTCACGGTCGCCGGTCATCGGAGTTA